GAATACTCCGATGAGGATTTAAGGTTGTGCGGATTTGCTATTTTAAAAAGATATTAATTAATACTCGAAGCAACAATACTGTTACGAAATGTACAGGCGCGGTAAGATAGCTTCCCCGCAAAGGAGTTTAAGGTTGCCATAAAATAGCAAGGGAAGGCAGAGTTGCCACATTTGGTGAGAAAATCGCCCATTTGGCGAAGTTTGGCGACAAAATTGGCGATATACCATGGACAGTTGGAGAACCTTCTGGAACGAATTCTTACCGGTTTAGCCCAGAATGTTCTCAAACACAGGCCGAAAGCTATATATAAACCCTGCTGGTCCGCAGTCAGTCAGTGTGCGTCTCTCATCGAGTGAGTGTGTCTCGTCTAGCGAGTCAATCCCTGCGGAGGCGATCGCGTTGACAGCCGGCCAGCGAGTGCCGAGTGGGTCGTTGAGTGCACCGAAAGAGTCTCGTAGAGTATCGCGGCTAGTGCATCGCCGAGAGAGCGTGTTGAGCTCCGGAAACGACTGAACCGAGAGTCAGGAGATGCTCACTGTGTCGTCGAGAGCATCGCGAGTTGCAGCGTGGAGACTCTTTGAGAGTATGTGGAGTTCCGATAACAAGCAGAGTCGGGAGCTGTACTCTGATGCTTTGCAGTGAAGTTGTCTCCACCGGAATAGCCTGATAACCTGAAGCCTGTGTCGCTGATTGTTCCAGCGAGTGTTTATAGTAGATCTTCGACGACTGTAAAAGTGACTTTGGAGCTGTCCTGATTAAATATTGGCTAAATAAAGTGTGTTTCGATACTTCATCAAGTGTCGTCGTTATTCCCTCCAAATCTACAAACCCCGTACGAACGTGAAGGAAGAAAATAACGTAACAACTGGTGTCAGAAGAGAAAAAAAAAACGCAACAATACATAAACTATTGATCTGAGTAAAGACTATACAACTACAACATTCATATCTTTTTGGGGATTTGAATCCGTGCTCAAAATCCTCGAAATGTGTTTTAAAGTCCTTTTCGTGAAACCCCTTTAGAATTTTTCAGAGAAGTTTCTTTCATTGCATTGATACACTTAAAACATTGACCAAGAAGCGGCTGCTAAATGAGTTGTCTTCCCATAATTCCTGTCATTTTCTATGAACTTCTTGCCGTAGACACCGAAAAACACACAAGTGTAAATAGCAGTCTTCAAAGGTAGTTAAACTTGCATCTTTACGTACCTCCTAACTCATTTATTGAGCTTTATTGACCGGATTTAGAGCTTTATTGAGTCCATACATATTCCTCTTCTTGAAGAGAGTTTATTTCGAAGGGAGGCATTTGGCCCTTAATGCTGTAATTTTCACGCATATTTTGATTTTCTGAAGAAAGGGAGATATATATTCAGAAGCTATAGTATCAACGTCAGCTTTAATAATTTTTAAGTGTGATAATGCAATAATAAAACTTTCTACTGCGATTCGGTTATATAAAAAAAGTACCGAAATTCATCTTGTTTGGGATTCCAGCGCTCTGGCTGAAATCGCGATTTCTTCCAAAAACAGCGAGGTTGAGCTTCAAATAAATTTAAATTCTAGTTGTAGATGCTTGCCCAATTTTCAACCGTGTCTTTTACAAAACTTTAAAATATCCACTAAATTTTCTTTTGAATACCGCAGTGTCAAAAATATAACTTTTAAAATTCACTGTCCTAATGAGAACAGCATTTTTATGCAATTAAAAAATTCAGTTTATTTAAAATTTACCTCATTGAAATTATGAAATGAGTGTTAAAATGTTTGAGTCAATTATAATTTTCAGCCTCTTTTAATGCTAGTCAAGAACGAAGGGATTATAATTTTCTTTTAAAATTTAAATATAAACTAATGTATATGGAAATTTTTCTAGTATAGATTACGATATATGATACTGAGAAATTTTGATATTGACAGTCCCACGCTGATCTCACATCGAGTGAGTGTGTCTCGTCTAGCGAGTCAGTCCCTGCTGAGGCGATCACCAAGTAACAGTGGCTTTAACAGTAATAACAGTGGCTTTGTATATCATCTTGGTGTTCTTTTGTAAAACTTTTGGAAAACTAATTTGTTTTCTTTATTAAAGATTTCTATTCTGAAATGCTTAAGACGATCTCCGACTGAGGGTGGGTTCAATGCACGATCTGAAAGCAGCTGATAAGCTGAAATTTTTTTCTACCAACATTTGTTTTTAAATTTCTAATAAGAGATTACAAAGAGAACTGTTGACAGAACAAGCAAAAATAAAAGAAAGGCGAATATTTACATTATGGTAACTTGGCGATTTTTTGGCGAAACCTTGGCGATCAATCCTGCTACAGCAACCTGCTAGTTTTGTTTTGGACGTCATTTTGTTTTCACGAAGTAAAGTCTTTTTCTTTTTTTTTTCTTTTCTTTTTTTTTTTTTTTTTTTTTTAACTCATCATTTTTTCCAACAATCTGCTAGCCGAATCACGCTTATACTAGAACTTTTATGGAACAAAAAGGCTTAATCATGACGAAGATTGGGTGCAAAATTGGGAGAAAGTGCAGAATCGCAAACTGCTTGCCGCGTTTTTAAGAATTCCACATACACGGTATCCATGTACACGTCGACCTGTTTTCACTTAAAAAAACATCCCAGAATTGCACAAAAATAGCACTGTGCACACTCTTGACTTTATTCATGTACACATCGACCTATTTTCACTTAAAAAGTCAAAGAAAATTGACAAAAATCCAATTCTTCTTACTCTTGTAAAAAGCGCCAAACAAATAAGTGGACAATTCAGCACTTTAGCAGCGAAATTGTTTCTAAGTGCTTATTATCTAAAATTACGATCGGAATTTTCCGGAAAATTTCACATCACGTGTCTCATGATCTCTCATTTCTCTGAGACAAAATAATCTGTGATTCGAACTATGTACTTCTCAGATTATTGCTAAAGTCCTAGCTAGTAACCTTTATCGCCTTACCAAAATGTCGCCAAACTAACAGTTACAATATTCTAAAGATTAGCTAAAAGAAATCCTCAGAACTATAAAATAGTCCACAATATAATCTATAAATATATTTTCTGTCTCGCCTCTGGCAATATCTCACCCAGAGTGATCTAACCTTAAGTGCAGGACAACGATTAAGATATGAGCATCCCTTTCTTCATGAAGGTTGCACAGTTTGAAAACTGGGGTTAGGATAATGCTCAGTCGATGCAGATATTTTAAAAGGCAATCATGGCCAGTAACAAAACGAAAGATAGCAACAGATTTCTTTCTGGGCCATAAAAGAGTGTCAAAAATTCTTTATGAATGTTATATGTCCATACTTTATGAATGTTCCTTTTGCTAGTGTTTTTCCAAAAAGCTTCTCTGCAGCAATTTTTTATTACTCTTTTCGTAATATAAAAAATCTGATGTGTACACCTCATAACTTCCTTGTACGGAATATTAAATTATACGCATTTTTCTTACATTTCATTTAAACTTATTGGATTGGATTAAATCTACTTTGTCGATAGCGCATAAACCACAATAGAATAAATGCACTCTTTAAAATTCGCTATATTAGTTTACCATAGCGACACTCTATCGAGAGGGTCACTTAACAGCGTTATTATTTCGTTCATATTATAACTCAGAATGCCCAAAATTTATATCATTTGAAGAATCATCTAATCGGTGCCACATGTTCTATTCAAATACTCTTATATATCTAGAACGATGTATAAAAGAAATTAAGCAAAAAAAAAAACATAAAAAAACAGTTTTTTACTGACGATTTAGTATTTCTCATTCAATTAATTCAGTTCTCACTTCGCGACAAGGCAAAAATACATAAAATCTCAAAATATCTCTATTAAAATTTACGAAGTAAATCTTAAACACTTATTTCCTCGAAAACAATTCCAGAAACGATTAAGCATGATTTAATTCGCAATAATAAATAAAGGCGTTATCTTTGTTGTTGCGAAGCTTAGTCTCTCTAGATTGGCAACCAATCTGCTATTCTGCTGTTTCAAATGTAAACAATTCTTTCATTCTTCTGTTCAAATTCTTGTCATAATCATGCTAATTAATTTAAGGGAAATGTTTTCGCTGTCCGCAAAATATTGCTTCGGGTGCCACCACTTTGATACGACTGGTTTAAGTATTATTTGAATGGGCCAAAAATGGTTTACATAAATATATGAATATCTGTGTGAGAATGGTATATCTTAATACTTTTTTTTAAATGCTACGTACTTAGAATTTCCCTTTTAGTTATTTATTTGTTAGCATTTCTATTCGTTGGCTATAGCAACTACGGACTTATCATGCTTTAGGCAGCTTTTCCGTGCAAAAGGCGTAAGTGACTAAGCAAGTGCACATAAGAAGGAATGTTGGAAATTTCGCAGTCAACATATTATGGGCATTAGTAACATACTTTATTAACTACATTCATGGCATAAAATAACAGCTGTTGTATACATTGTTAAGAACTTCAAAAAAAAAAAAATATTTTATACTTTTGACTTAACGCCATATTCAGCAACATGCATTTACAACACTAAAGAGAAGAACTTATGCATCGTTGGTTAGCAACAACATTCACTTATGCCAGACAGGATTTGTCTCAAGCTGAAAACAATAGGGGTTTTAAAAAGCGAGTTAAGTGTTTCGGATGAAGTGCAACACACGAGCAAGGTTCGCTCAATGGCAGAGTGACTATCGCGCGCTTCGAATTCGCGTAAAACGAAGCTTTCCTGTATACCCTTCTCTTCTGACTTCCAACTTGCTTTTAGTTTTACATCGATGGATATATATCTCGTCGAAAATCCCAAAAACACATTTTGGTGAGAATTTCGTGACACACGGTGTACGGTCGACGACCTCTAGTACCGCAGTTTGTCCCCAGAGGTCGCTGGGCTTTGCCGGGCGTGACGTCATGTAGTTTGAGGGCCTGACTGAAGTTCCACAAGAATTAGCGTGACCTGACAAAACATGGCAAGGCTCGTGAGCTCGGGACAGGTAAGAATTTCCTCATTCTTAACACGCTGTTTTCCCTGGCGGCTCTTCACGTCTTCTCTCCGAGAAGTTTGTTTTGTTTTTTTGTTTATTTCTGACTTTGCGGGTTCTTCCTACAGGAATGAATTACTGAACGTAACTGGACAAGCGAAATAATGTGAAAATGCTGGAACAGGTGTATGGATTATGAACACCCATCGATTGCACTTTATACATCAACTGATTGATTGGTGTTCTCTTCGCAAAATTTGAAGGACTGGATAATTTTTTTTTAACTTTCTTGGGATCAGTCTCCAGGCTGTGCGACCATCTAATATGACGAAAACGTGTTGATTCCTCTATCTTCAAGCGTTGAAACAGACGAGAAAATATGGTAAGTTTTTAAAACTTATTTTCCTAAATGCGTTATTAAATTAGAGGCAATGGAAATTCAAAATTAGTCAACGTTCCTCTTAGATCAGCGTAAATGTCAAATAAAAGTACCTCCGGTCATAGTCAACCTCCGGGTAAAGGAAACCAGAATTTTTTTTTTTTCTTTTTTTTTTAAACTTTTAATCGACATTTTTACTTTTAAACGAGGATTTATCTTTTTCGTTATTTTTTTTTTAATTATTTTTTTTATGTTTCGAATATTGATTTAATTTCAGGAACCAGATTAACTTATTTTCCAAATTAAATTGTTTGAAAATACTTGTAAATTGTTAATATTTTTACTTTAACTGCAACATAAATTGTTCTGTTTTTTTTTTTTTTTCCCTGCGTTTGCTTAACTGCTCTCGGATTAACTGTGATTTCAAATTAATCGTGAACGTAGTCCCCCAGGATTGTCTCTGCAATAGCCTGTAATTGGAGCCTGAAACACCTGTAATTATCTGCAGTTGTACCTGTAACCCTATAATTATTTCTAATCTTCCCGTTTAACTGGCCGTAATTTATTAAAATCTTCTATAACTGTACTTATATAGTTTTAAGTGCATATTAGAGGTTTAAGGCAATATTTTTTCATATTAAAATAAGATCGAGTTGCCAATATTCAGCGGTCTTAACCAACGGCTAATGATGACACCCAGAAAAAGATCTCAAATTTTCAGAATAAATATGATATTTGCGAAGCTTTAAGAAATCTCTTAAAATTTTCCGAAAAATAACGGCGAAACTTCATGGCATGATAAAGTTACTGCCCTAATAATCATTTATCTTTTTTTTTTTTTTCAATGCTTTCTAAATCTCTTTTCTCCAAACCAAAAACATCTTCAAAGATTCCCCCTTCCTTCCTGAAGGAAGGCCTGATGTCAGAACCATCGAAGCGAACAGAACGTTCGTAATCCAAGATATAAACAGCCTCAAGGCGTGTTTATATCCAAGATATAAACACACTGAATACTGGTAATTCGACCGAGGTTCAAATCTCAGCTAAGGGATTGTCTACATGGACGTTTTCGTGATTTTACCGGGGCCCACCAGCGGCCGAGCGGTAAAGTCGCTAAACACTGGTAGTTCGGTCCGAGGGTCGAATCCCGCGGACGGGCTGGCTGCATGGGCGTTTTCGTGGTTTTCCGTAACGTGTATACGAGCCAGTTTCCCTTAGAAAGTCCTCCACGAAGGCATCCTTTTTCTTAGGCAGATAGCCCTCGAGGCTTTGCCATAATCACACACACACGTGATTTTACCCATGTTTAACATCTATACGAACCATTTTGCTTTAGAAAGTCTTCCCTTTTTTTCTAGAAAGATACCCATCGCTTGCTTTGCCATAATCAAACAAACCAAATCAACCATCGCTTCATTTATTAAAATTTTCGAGGGAAAGTTATTGCTTTAATTTTAGCTATTTTCATTTGCTCATCAGCCGTACAAAGCAAATCATTTAAAAACTCATTTTTACTATAATATTTTGCTACAAATCTTCTTTTCTAGGCCATTGTTATTGTTTAAAAATGGTGGCTATCTGAAAATCAATGAAATAAAAGAAACTGAGAAGATTTTTCGCATGCGATTCCCGCAACTAAAAAAAAAGTAGTTCAACAATAAATCAATTTAGAAAATAATATTGAAAGAAAACTGAGAATTTATTGAGACTATCAGAAAAAATCTATTCCATCATCTAATATCTAGCATTTCGTTTTTCCAATATGTGTAGTTAAAGCAGGAATTTTATCGTCGTAGGGGGAAAAAATAAAATTCGCAGGACAATTATGAGGTAAAATTCGCGGAACTTTGGTGGTGTGGGATTTACACTAAATTTTTTCCGAAAAATTTAATGATCAAAATTTATATTGCACTGTTTCCTAAAGTGAGCTTTGAACAAATGTAAGAATTTTAAGATATCTAGATACTGATAAAAAAAAATCTGATGACACCACATGACTTCCCTGTACGGAATATTAAATTATACGCATTTTTTCTTGTATTTCATTTAAACTTATTAGATTGAATTAAACCTACTTCGCCTACACCGCATAAACCACAATAGAATGTGGTCTATTGTAGAATGTGGTTTATGCCACAATAAGTGCATTCTTTAAAATTCACTTTGTTTACCATAGCGACACTCTGGCACTAGGTTCACTTAACAGTATTATATTTCGTTCATATTATAACTCAGAATGCACAAAATTTATATCCTTTAAAGAATTATCTAATCGTTGCCACATGTTTTATTCAAATACTATAATAAAGCTAGAACAATGTATAAAAGAAATTAAGCAAACAAAACAAAACAGAAACAGTTTTTCACAGACGATTGAGTATTTCTCATTCAATTAATTCAGTTTTCACTTCGCGACAAGGCAAAAATACATAAAAATTCAAAATATCTGTATTAAAAATTACGAATTAAATCTTACGAGGTAAAATAGTAAATAGCTTATTAGCTTATTAGCTAAATAGCTTATTACGTAAAATAGCTTATTTCCTCGAAAAAATTCCAGAAAGGATTAAGCATGATTTAAATAATAAATGAAGGCGTTATCTTTGTTGTTGCGAAGCTAAGTTTCTCTAGATTGGAAACAAATCCACTAGTCTGCTGTTTCAAATGTAAACAATCAATGGTCCCCATAAAAAAAGGCTTAGCGCACTTAGAAACTTTAAAATTGTTGATAATTCTAAAAATATTGCATACAGATTTATTAAAGGCATAAAAACCTTAATCGGAAGATAAAAACAACATAATTCAATCATTTTTAAAGCAAAAAAATGTACAATTTACAAATATGTAAGAGTAAAGAAACTGAGATCACTGAGCCGGGTAACAGAGTAGATATATATATCAATATATTTATATACATTTGGTGCGGCCAATTGCAACCAAAATACGAGGTGCACATCTACATGTTAAGCAGTCCTATATACAAAATTTCAACGTTCTGAGGCTACTCGTTTTTGAGTTATGCGAGATACGTACGTACATACGTTCGTACAGACGCCACGAAAAAATTCTCTTCAGAATTCATTTTAAAGCAGTTTTTTAATTTTTTTGGAGGAAAAGAATGTTTTATTCTGTCCTTACGTACATATATCACGGAAATACATCGTTAAATTGCATTTGAAAGAGGTCAAATTGGGATATTTTCGTTGAAATATGCTGGCTGAAACTTTTCGATTACAATACTTCCTTTTTACTTCGTACAAGGAAGTAAAAATGGAAAGTGACTTTGGGAAATGGCCTTTTTATCGTATTCTAGAAAATCAGCAAAACTTGATATTCAATATTCTGGTTTATATTTCAGAATAGAATTACTCTAGTGGACGATTTTCAGAAAATTCTAACGAAAAATGGCGCAGAATTCTAACATGTAAATAGAATAATAGAAACTAAAAACAAACTGGAGGTGAAGGGGGGAAACGAAATGCGAGGTAAAAGAGATCTGCGAAATTTTAGAAAATTCCCTAGAAAGCAAATGTTTTGAAATTTTAAATAAGAATTCAGTTTCAAATCGTGGAATATCTTCTTCGTTTAAATTTTAGATTCGAATCACTGAATATTATAGCGTTATGATGAAATGAATAAATAATAGCTTTACAAGGCATTTCTCGTCCGATAACTTACTTTAATGAAAATAATGTCAAATTCAATTTTTAAATTTTTTACTTTTTGCATACAATTTAAGAGAAAACTAAAGGCGCTGAATGCTTAAATTTTCAAGGAATTTATTTCATTTACTGTGAAAATTCTATAACTGTACAAATTATGCATTCAAGAAAATGTGCTAAAATAAACTGTGCATATATTAGATTTAAAATGATAGTAATAGTAAGATGCTAAATTTTTAATAATAATACTAACGGAATAATTTGTGATAGTTACTCAAATAAGAATAAAATTAAATTAAGAGGAATCAGAATGATTTAATTAAAATTTTGACTAAACCCCATGCAATAAAATTTATAAGGTTTATTTTAGCAAATACGTTACTTTTACGTTAATTTTTTCCTGTATCTTTTATTTCTTCCATCAACCTTCGCCAGAATACCAACATGTTTAAGAGATCAGAACTTCATAATGTCAAAATGGGCTATAAATGTAACATAATTTAAATCAATTTATCATTATAACTAACTGAGTTATGTTTATATAAATTTGCTTATTTATTTTTATATTCTTGATATTCTACTTGCCGTTTTACTTTATGTTGCAGGTTGTAAGGATTGTGTTAATTTTGTTAAAAGTTTAATTTTGAGTTAAAGTTCCTATCCTGTCGATTCTTGACTTCAACTTACTACTTCCGGCCAGAACGTAGTTTAGAATCACGTCTGAATACATAATGAGGAAGAGCGGTATTTAACCCCGAAGTTCTTCTATCTTAATTAGAGAAATGCCAGGTATTCTGTCTGCACGCGTCCGCCTTTTTTAGGCTACTCTCTCATAAGCTATTATCACGCTCGGCCGTACTTTAGGCCCTTGATAGCTTCGCAGTCTATTAACGTTAAGAAGCCAACTCTGTTAGAATTTTTGATAGCTTCCGCTATACCTCTTTAGTTTAGATTAGTATTATTCTTAGTCTCTTAAGTTCAAAGCCCAAGTGTCGGCTTTATTGTACACTCCAAGACGGAGTTTTGTTAACTATTAGTTGGAATAACAAAGGGCTAGTTTACCCTTCTTATTTCCTGTCACACGAACTCAAGCGATTATTCGCTTATCAGTTCTTAAGATTCTTCACTTTAACAGTAACTCAGCATTAAACGTGAGGAATCCTACAAAGTATTAAAATATTTTAAATAAAATAATAAAACTGCATTACTTACGACTGCATTCATGAAATTATACGGGCCTAAAATAATATTCATCAGAAAAGCTTAAGATATTCAATATTCTGGTTTATATTTCAGAACAGAATTACTTTTCTGTACGATTTTCAGAAAATTCTAACGAAA